GAAAACTTCAAGAATCTTGGGGAACTAATATTTAGGATTTTCTTTCAATCTAGAGTTTAAAGGCTTTTTATTTTGAAATAATTTTAGGCTTACAGGAAAATTGCAAAGATAGTAAAGTTTCCATGTACCTGGCATTCAAATTATTCTAACAACTTACATAACTATAGTAGAGTTATCAAAACCTGAAAATTAAACATCAGTACAATAATATTAAGTAAACTACAGGCCTTATTCAAGTTTCACTGTTTTTTTGTTTTGTTTTGTTTTTCCTAATGCCTCTGTCTGTCCCAGGATCCAGTTCAGGATTATGTATTACATTGAGTTGTTCTGTCTCTTTATTCTCCTCCAAACTGTGACAGTTTCTCAGTCTTTCTTCTGTGTTCATGATCTTGGCACTTCTCACGAATACTGGTCGGTTTTTTTGTAGAATGCCTCTCAATTTGGGTTTGCCTGATGTTTTCTCATGATTAAATTGAGGTGTGTTTTTTTTTTTTTTTTTTTTTTTTTTTTTTTTTGAGCAGATACTACAGAAATGATTTATGTCTTCACTGCATCATATTGTAGGCTTATGATGTCTGTGTGTCTTATTACTAGCAGTAGTAACATTGATCACTTGTTTAAGATAGATTTAAGATGTATGCTGGATTTCCCCTCTGCAAAGTTAGTATTTTTCCCTTTATAATTGATAAATATCTTGGGGGAGATACTTTGATACTCAACCCATGTTTTTTGAAATTATAGTGTCTGAGGGGAACTTAATGTATCTGTTGGCATCCAGGGAACTCTGTTACTTTTAAAAAGCTCATAACAGAGTCAAAAAAATGTTTTCTGGAGTCTGTGATTCGTATTGAGGAAATTGGCATTCCAAATATGGAACTGAAGGGAATAGAACTAAGAAAGTTAAAGTCTTGGGGCACGTGGGTGGCTCAGTAGGTTAAGTGTTTGACTCCTGATTTTGGCTCACATCATGATCTTGTGGTTCATGAGTTCATGCTCCCCATTGGGCTGTCACCACAGAGCCTGCTTGGGATTCTGTCTCCCTCTCTCTCTGCTCCTCCCCCACTTGCTCTGTCTCAGAATAAATAAAAATAAACTTGAAAGAAAAAAGTTAAAGTGTTTTTGCCTGTAAATAATGAAAATATTTGTACCTATAAATAATATGCTTTATAAAATGCTTTTGAATAATTCACTTACATTCATGCAACAATCTCCTGAGGCTGACATTCAGGGAACTCTGTTACTTTTAAAAAGCTCATATTAGAGTTAAAAAATTATATAAATGATACAAATGATAAAAATTGTACAAATCTCATGAGGTTGGCTTTTACTGTCCCTATCATCACCATTATTAGTTTCCCTTTTCAGATCTAGAAACTAAGGCTCAGTGAGATTGTATGGTTTTTCCAAACTCTAACCGTTAGTAACTGATAGGGCAAGGAAGCATACTTGGCCCTATGCATCTATGCCAAGCATTTTCCCACTATACACAGTGATGGAATATATGTGGTTAGATAGCAGTGAGTTCCCCATCATTGGATATGTCCATGTCCAGGGATGTAGTTTTTTGGTGAGGATGTGTCAAGGCAAAAACAACAGATGAATGGCTAGAATTGATAAGCTTAAGGTCACTTCTAACCTTGAGATTCCATGATTTTCAACCATAATGATTCAATGCCTATGTTATTAACTTATTCTGTCCTTTTTGGTTTTCTCTTTTGGAAGTTGAGGAAAAACCACTTCTTTCTGCTTTTCTTATTCAATCAGCTAAAGCACTGGTGGAATTAGCTGAAAGGAAAGATGTCCTTCCTTCCAGAATCCCCAAGCTGTTATGACTATAGTTTGTGTCACTCAGTGACAGCAATGTTTAGATCTCCAAGAGGATGCTGGGACTGCAAACGAGTTATAAGAAGTGTCTTCTGTCTGTCTTCGCTTCTACAGACTGAAGCTCAAACAAAACCCTACTTCTGTGTTAGTTTACATTATTTAGCCTCAGTGAAGTGAGTTTATTTATTTTTTAAGGTTTTTTTTTTTTTTTTTT